GTTTTCTAGTATCAGTCATAAAGACTTAGAGTAGGAGCAAATTACTGCAGAATGCTACTGAAAACAAAGTGCTGGAGATCATAACAGGTCAGTCAGCATCCATTGAGCGAAAGCAAACCAATGGATCAGTCTAGATAACTCTTCAACAGAGCTGGATTTCTGATGAAGTGTCTAGGCCCGAAACGTCAGCTTTCCAGCTCCTCTGATGCTGCTTGGTCCGCTGTATTCATCCAGCTCTACGCCTTGTTATCTCTGTGGAGGAGGAGGTGGGCTGCAGTTCGAGGGGTTGGTGTGCTGAGGGAGAAAGGATGTTGATAGTTCAGATCAAGTCCCAGAGGGAACAATCTCTTCTGGACTTAATGTTGAGTTCAACACCATCAAATCCTGAAGCCATTCCTTCCCTTTCTTTTAGCTTTGCTTGATACAGTTTCTGTCACCCATTCTTCCCTCCACCCCCGTGGGACTGTCTGTTCTTTCCAGTTTGGCAGTTAGATACTCCATCGTTCCACATTCTCACACTCTGATCACTTAATCTGAACTATTAAAATTTTCAAATAATCATTTTCCACAGTCAGAGCATTTCTCCCTGTGCAGTCAAAGGCTCATGATTTTTCCAAGCCCAAAAGAGTCATTCTCTTAGATATTGATTTGTTGTTTATTTCAAGTCTGTACATTACTCCCATCGAATACCTGTGAAAAGAAATGACAATGTGAGGATCACAAGCAGCAAGCCACAGAAATGAACAAATGACAATTGGAGTTTTTTTTGGTGAAACATTCTTTCCTCCTGTTTCCCCAAATATGCGAACAAAATCAAACTAATAGAAGTCAAAATCAGGAAATGGTTCCCCAGAAAGCTCCGTCTCCAAGGTTACCCATGTGCAGATATGGCCAGGGAAGAGAGGCTGAGATGCGGTGATCACCTTCTCCTTGGGCCCACACGTTCTGATCTACAATTTGCTGAATGAACCAGGACCAAGAGTGGATCCAGGAAACAATCCTCTGACTTACCCAGCTTCCTTCCTCCACACTTTGTACCTTTCTAGACTCAGCGGAGTTCAACAATTTCAGCAATGAAACACTGTCCCCATTTTGTTTCTTTTCCTTTGCTTGTTTCATTTGTTTCTTTCAGTCAGCAGCACATCTGCTCCGAGGACATCTTTTCTAAGGGACTAACGTTCACTCGAGGCCTATTCAACACTTGATATTCCCCAGATCTGATGAAAGCTTACAGTCCTGAAACAGTCACTCTGTCTTCCCTCTCTCTCTCTCTCTCTCTCTCTCTCTCTCTCTCTCGCTGCACACTTGCTTCCTGGTGTACTGAGTGGTTTCCAGCAACATCTGTCTTTGAATATTTAGATTTGGAAACAAGTAACTCAATATTGAAGTTTGCAGTTGATAACAAGCTGTGCATCTAAACTGAGGAAGAATGTAACATGACAAAAGACAACATTGCAAAACTCACACTCGGCAGTTAAATGACAAATGATTCAAACAGTGATAATAGATCAGGATGCACTTTCATGGGAGGATTACAACCATTACCCACTTCTTGCAGCAGAAACAATTACCAACAAATTTATGATAATCTGACATCATAGACACCTACCCTCTCGATTGTCTGCTCCAATCAGAATGCCAAATTTATGCTCTTTCTTGTCCATTCACAGGATGTGCGGGATGGTATTGCCCATCCCTAATTGGTGAGAGGGACAGCTAAAAGTGGGTCTGAAGTCATATGTAGCCCAAACCACGTAAGAACAGTAGATTTCCTTTCATGAATCCGATGGGTTTTACACAATTTCAAATTTCACCACCTGCAGAGGTGGAAATTGAACTCATGATCCCAGAACACTAACCTGGGGCTTTGGATTATGAGCACAGTGACATTATCACTATGCTGCAACCTCCCCCAAATGATCTGGCTAAGGACTGTGCACTGTTATTTTTAAAGTTGCCTGTGTGTAAGATTCAGGAGACTTGCAACGTGCATTAGCCACAGGATTCAACAGTTTCAAACAAACAGCAATAGACTTTACATCGTAGGTAATCTTGGATAGAGGAATTATTAAAGCTAAATATCTAAAGGAAGTCTTTTTAGATGTAATACATGATTTCATGACAGTAAGAATCTTGATTTAATTCCAATTTTTCCAGAAGCTATGTATCAGGGCCACAATGTACTAACAATAAAAGATATGTCTGCCAGTGACCGTAGCAATGCAATTGGATACTAGGGAAAAACAGGGAACATGTCAATAAACTCTAAGTTCAATTGTACATATATTTAAAATATTACAATGTTCATTAATTCAGTACAAAAAAAAATTTAAACTTACATAGCTTTATATCAGATATATTTGTCCAAAGTGTTTTATGATAAGGACTAATCTAGAACATCCTTACAAAAATCAATTGTTAGAATTTGATAACATAAAATAGCTACAAACAATAGATTTTACAGGCATACAGATATACAGCACAGAAACAGACCCTTCTGTCCAACTCATCCATGCCGACCGGTTATCCTAAATAAACCTAATCCCATTTGCCAGCATTTGGCCAATATCCCTCTAAACCGTTCCTATTCCTTTACCCATTCAGATGCCTTTTTTTTAACCAGCCTCCACCACCTCCTCTGGCAGTTCGTTCCATACACGCACCACCCTCTGCATGAAAAAGTTGCAGCTTAGGTCCCCTTTAAATCTTTCCCCTCTCACCTTAAACCTATGCCCTCTAGTTTTGAACTCCCCCACCCCGGGGAAAAGACTTTGTCTATTTACCCTATCCATGCCCCTCATGATTTTATCAACCTCTAAGCTCACCGCTCAGTCTCCGACACTCCAGGGAAAATAGCCCCAGCCGGTTCAGATTCTCACCATATCTAAACCGTCCATCCTTGGCAGCATCCTTGTAAACCTTTTCTGAACCCTTTCAAGTTTCACAACAGAATTAGCATGCAGTGTTCCAAAAGTGACCTAACCAACGTCCTGTACAGCTTCAAAATGATCTCCCAACTCATATACTCAATGCACTGACCAATAAAGGCAAGTATACCGAATGCCTTCTTCACTATCCTATCTACCTGCAACTCCACTTTCAAGGAAATATGAACCTGCACAACAAGCTCTGTTTGTTCGGCAACGCTCCCCAGGAACTTACCATTAAGTGTACAAGTCCTGCTCTGATTTGCCTTTCCAAACTGCAGCACCTCACATTTATGCGAATTAAACCCCATCTGCCATTCTTCAGTCCATTGGCCCATCTGATCAACGTCTCATTGTACTCTGAAGTAACCATCTTCACTGTTCACTACACCTCCAATTTTAGTGTCATCTGCAAACTTACTAACCATACCTCCTAGGTCCACATCCAAATCATTTAAGTAACCATAATAATAATAATCTTTAGCAATAAATTTAATTGAGATTTATGTTCAAAACCAAATTAAGGGAAGAGATTCAACTGTTTATTGTTCCATTATCAGGGATAATTATGCACAAAAATAAAGACAATTAAGCTAAATTAAATAGTTTGCCAGCCAAAGCATGACAAAATTCTGTTAGGACATGGAAAGGGGAGGTCTTGAACTTCTGTTGAAGGAAAAAAGTCTCTGCTGCTTCCCTCCCTTCCACCTGAACATTGACGAAACTGCCCCTAACATTTCCATTTGCACAAGCCCTCAGTTTCCCTCCTATCTCCTCTCATTCTTCCTCAAATCTTACCATGTACATGAGACCCACCGTCTGCTCCATCAACACTGATCTCACTACATTGCTGATCATCAAACTCTCCACGTGTACTGATAGTATCAATAGTTGTCTCTCTTCAGGTTCTGTCACTCTTCTCTTCAAAAGCTGCCATTAATCACCAGAGGACAACTGTGAAATGTCCTCCCATGGTCCAGCCGGTAACAGTGTGCTGAGAACTGGTTCTGGTGCACTGGGGATGCTGACAGGGTGATATCCACAACAGATTTCCACAAACTGCTCCACTTCGCTCTCCATCCCTAGTCACCAGACTCCACTACGTAAGTTTTGCTGACCACCATCTAGCCCGAAGGTATCCAAATGTGCTTCTACCTGCAGGCTAGACCAAAGCCTTTGTGTGTCTCGAGAGTCTGTTGCCTCTTAGAACACATTTCCCAGTCATGCACAGTTCATCTTGTACAGCCATGTCCACCCTCAATGGGCAATTTTCCAGGTTTCCAGCTCAGAATCCCCATCTGATGGCATCCAATTCTGGATCTTTGTCTGACTCTCTGTCAATCTTTCTCATTGTCATTGTTCTGGGTGCACGAACTACGTCAAACAGCACCAATGATTCAGCTTCCTTCTCCAGTGAAGATCTGTGTGTTTGACCCTCCCTCTGTCATGGGGACAGCGGGTCAGTGATGTTCATCTTTCCAGAAATGTAAGCCACTTTGTCCCAAGACTCCCAGAGTCTCCAAACACCATCTTTCAATTCTGGCACAAGGTTCAGATCTGGGAGAGTGAATTATTCCTAATGACTTGTGGTCTGTCTCTAATTAAAATTCAATACTGAACAAGTCTACATGGAATCTTTCACATGCCACAAATTCTGGTTACTCTTTGTCTAATTGAGAATCTCTCTTCTCTACATCTGACAGAGATCTGCTCTCACAGAAATAATCTTGCATTTACGCCAGCGCTGCTCCTAATCTGATCGGACAGGCATCTGCTCTGACGTGCAATACACCAGGAATAGTCATTCACCTGAGATACCAGCTGTTCCTGGAGTCCGTTGAATTACTGTATGGACCTGGTGCTGCATTGATACCAAACAGCAAAACTTGAATCAGTGAAGTCCACAATGAGGGACAAATGTTATGACTGTCCAAGAATGAAGAGGAAGCTCCAGCTGCTGCTGGCCGTGTTTTAAGTTAAATTTGGGGAAAACGACACCTGTTGACAATTCTTAAAGATTTATCCAGATTGCAATGTGGGTGATGTTACCTCCCTCCCGCTGCATTCCCCTGTTGCTGATTAAAACATAGTCTGACAGCACCATTTGGTTGAGGCACGACCATACAAGGCTCGAGCTCGCTGTTGCTCCTTCAGGCTTGATGATGTCAGTTGTGGCCTTTGGTGAACCACAGCAATCAGGCTGGACCAGTCAGGTTCGAGTGGGGCAAGTGGATGCAGTGGCACAGCTCACCCTGCGCCACTGTTTGGCAGCTTCTGGAACAGACAGATATGCTGGTAGGTAGAGGGAGGAGAGAAATAAAGAGAGGTGGGTGGAAGCTCATGTGGAACATAAACACTGACAGGGACTAATTGAGCCGATACACATGGCCCTGTGCTGCGGGATCAATAGAACTGAGGCAGGTATTTACTGAGAATCCACCTGCAGTGAAAAAGAAAGAACATGATTTCATATCCAGGATAAAGTAGCTGTGCTCCATCAGCTGTTGGTCGTGATTTCAGTGGGAATGCATAATCCCAGGATCAAGGAACACCAGCTTCACTGGAACCAAAGTGGTAAGTGCGGCAAGTCCAGTGAAAAGTAACCCTCTGACTCTGCCACTTCACCCATTGTCAGAATGAACATGGCCAAGTCCTAGATGTGATTTCCAGCAGCAATAACAGCAGAATCCAACACCTGGAGTCACTTGTGAACTCACTAATGTGTGAGCAGGGCAGATGAATGACTGAATCCCTTCCAACACTTGGGCAAGTGAATGGCTTCTCCCCAGTGGTAAACCCGTTAGTGTCTCTGCAGCATGTATGGATCACTGAAACCTTTTCCACACTGACAGCAGGTGAAAAGCCTTTTCCCAATATGAACAGGATAATGCAACAGAAAGTGGCATGACTAACTGAATCCCTTCTCACTCACAGAGCAGGTGAGCAGTCTCTCCCCACTGTGAACATGATAGTGTAACAGCAGGTGGCCTGACTAACTCAATTCCTTCTGACACTTGGAGCAGGTGAACGGTCTCTCCCCAGTGTGAACAAGCTGACGTGTCAGTAGGGCAGATGAATGAACGAAACCCTTCCCACATGTACAGGAGGCGAATGGCCTCTCTCCATTGTGAAACACCGTGTGGACCTGGAGGAACACAGCAGGCCAGGCAGCATCAGACAAGTAGGAAAGTTGACGTTTCCTCCAGCTCCACACAGTGTTATCTCTGACTCCAGCATCTGCAGTTCTTATTATCT